AATTAAACAGAATTACCACATGGTCCAGCAATTCCACTTCTGGATGTACACCCAAAAGAAGTGAAAGCAAGGAGTTGAACAGATATTTGTACATGTATTCATAGCAGCATTATTTACAATAGTGAAAAGATAGAAGCAGCCCAAGTGTCCACTGATGGATGAATGGATAAAGAAAATGTGGTCTAAAAATAAAATAGGATATCATTTAGCTTTACCATGGAAGAAAATTTTACTATGCACTACACATAGATCTTAAGGACACTGTTAAGTGAATGAAGTCAGTCTCAAAGGGATAACCACTGTGTGATTGCGCTTATGCGAGGTACCTAGAGTAGTCAAATTTATAGAGTTCATAGAGGGTAGGATGATGGTTAATAGGGGTTGTGAGGAGGGAAGAATGAGGAATTAGTGTTTAACGGGGGTGGAGTTTGAGTTTGGGAAGATAAAAAGTTTTGGAGACGGTGGTAATTGTCCACAACAATGTACATGCATATAATGACAAATTTTTTCTACATGTATTTTTTAGGATAAAAATTACAATAAAAGTAGTTTAGGAAATCTGTGTTCACAGAGCCCAGCCCAGTTCTTAGCTCTCCTCCAAGGACACACAGTAGCTGCTCTATAGTTTCCAAGCTGCACAGGTGCTATCAGGCACCTTGGTCCTTCCAAGAGGGACTTCTGCAGGGGCTTTCCAATAAGCATTCTTAAGGACCTGAGATAAACCAGGGAGGAAAACCAGAAAACCTGTATACTTGCAGAAATGAAGACTAACTTGCCCTGGTTACTCTGCTGAAGATAAGAACTAACATGCATCACCCATGGTGAATTCCTCAAAAATTTATCCTTTAGAGGACACAAACTGAAGGACACGGTGAAGTTGTGAATAATGATTGAAATTTAGGTGGGCTGGGGATTTAGCTCAGTGGTTTCGCCGCCTGCTGCGCAAGTGCAAGGACACAAGTTCGATCCCTGGTACCAAAAAAAAAAAAGGCATTCTGTTGTCAGAAACATTTTGGAAACACTGGATTAAATCAGACTGAACATCTTATTTATTTATTTTTTTGTACTGGGGATTGAACTCAGGACCTTGCACTTGCGAGGCAGGTGTGGTGCCACTGAACTAAATCCCTAGCCTCAACAGCTAATTTGTTGCAGGAGTCCCAGAGCCTTTGATGCACCAGTGAGACATGGACCTGGATGGGGAAACTTTACAGGGTCCTCATCCAAGTGTTTGCCAATGGGTTTGACCACAGAGCACTTTTTCAGGCCATTTTTAAGGACGGATGTTCACAAAAACACTTTAGAAATACTTTCATTTTGTAAAAGTAATAAAATGGAAGATGCATTCACACTAGGCCAGGGGTCAGCAAACTGTAGTCCTTGGGGCTCATGCATCCAGCTGCATGGGTTTTTTTTCCCCCCAAAGAGTCTGCACTCAAATGGATAATTTTGAATAGTTACATAAGTACTTGCATAACATTTTGGTTTTGCTTCTTGGCTTACAAAGCCCAATATTTACTAGCTGACCCTTTAACAAAAAGTTTGCTACTTCTTGTACTAGGCAATGAATATATTTGAAGATTGTTAATTTTTATTTTCATTCTTCACAGAAACAATAATAATTATTATTACTTAGAAGTGCCTACTATGTGCTAGGGACACGTTATTTCCACTCATCTTCATAACTCTGAGAAGGGCACTATTGTCCCCATGTTACAGATGAGGAAACTAAGTTTCAGAGAGGTAAAATGTGTAACAGAGTCAGAATTCAAACCTAAGGTTAATTCCAAAATCCATGATTCAGTGGTTTGTAAAGTGGGGGAATGTAAGACAAGCCCCTGGAGCACATTGCATTGCTTTTCTTTTCCTTCCTTCCTTCTTCCCTTTCCTCCTTCCCTTCTCTTGCTGTCACCATCTGTTTTCCCCTTGGTTTTCCTTCCTGCCTTCCTCCTGTCCTTCTTTTTCAGTACTGCAAGTCAAACCCAGACCTAGCACATGCCAGACAAGTGCTTTATCACTAGGTTATATGCCTAGTCCCTCATTTTATACATATACATATATAAAATTTTTATTAATACATTTGTTATATTTTTAATGTACAT